ATGCTTTTTCCCAAATACAAGCTCTTAAAAATCAAGGAACAACAAAGAAGAGGCAAGTACTAAATAACTTTTACCAGAAGCAAATGGGAAGTTACCAGCCAGGGAATGCAGAGGTATGGACACTGAGCCATGGAGTGGAAAGCTTCAAAGACTTGCGCTATAAGAAGATTGGGGGGGCGTGGGTGATACTGGTAAGGAGAAAAAGGAAAAAAAATGAGAAGATAGCCACTATTCAGATGTTAGTGGCTTGATGTGAGCAATGGGTGACAGTTAAAATGAGTCATTTCTGTCAGGCACGTTCTGATTCATGATCATGCAGGTCACTCAGGTAGTGCCATCGCTGCCAGGAGAGGCTCAGAGCACGAGCAGGCTGCATGTGCTCTTACAGCCTCAGCACACACGTACAGGTTCTCTGCAGCATTGTGAGGCAGGAAATTCACACCTTCATGAACACTGGGACAAGGACTGGGAATCACTTTTGTCTTGATGTAACCTCATACAATTTCCTCCTTGCGGTTTTGAGGACTTCATTGCTACTTCAGAGCATTCTGTGTCCCATGTGCATAATTTCTCTGAAGGTGCTATAAGGAAAGGAATCATCATTAGAAAGAGAATGATATTCTTGTCAAAGAGAAAAATGCAGTGGGGATTTTTTTTTCCACCATAATCAAGTCTGCTATATTAAATCATGTGGAGGGGAGAAGGAAAGGAAAAAAAAAGACTGTGAAACTGAGTGTAAATATTTTATTCTTAAAAGTAAATCTAAAATTCAAGTAATAATCACTTTATTACACTATATTCTGTGTTACAGTTTAATACCTCTTTTGGGATAATAGCCCTAAAGAAAACATGTTCCTAGCTTGCAGTTTCTAGCTTGCACTTTATGCACTGTGTTCCCAATGATTATTTTTCAGGGCATGAAGCTCTCATGTTTATTATGCACCCTCAAGCTTAGGCATACATATCGTAACAAGTGTTGCCTCTGCTGGTTCAGCAGCCCTGAGACGATGTTCTGTGCACACCATTATGTTGTCAGGCTGAAATTAAACCGTAACTTCTAAAAATAAGCCTTGATGCATTATCACTAGAAATCGCGATAAAGGCATCAGACAAAAAGAAAGTTGTCACATCCCTGTCATTAAATGTACATACAAACTTGTTTATAACCTTCTGTTAAGTGTAATTTGCTACCTAATGTCAACAAAGATCCACCATTAATTGGCTGATGTATTACACATTCAGACACATATCCTGGGTCTCAGAAGCATTCTACAACACATTAGTTTCTCTGAGGAGCAAACATGAGTTCACTAGTGAAGAAGGTTTTTTAAAGCAGCAAGAAAGATTGATTTTTGCAATAGTACTCTTGTATCAGATGAGCAGGACTTGACAATAAATGAAAGACAAATGAAAAGCTAGGCTGGAGCTCACCATCCCTAATCCATCCCTCTCAAAGTAGACAATGAAAGGTATCTAGGCTGCAGTTATGTATCTGGTACCATCTAAAGAGTAATTCAAAATAGTCTCTTCTCAGCATAAATATAAAACGATACAGTAAAAGAATAAACACTTATGACCAAAATGTATACTAAACTTTATTTCTTAATAATGTTTTGTACTTCTTCAACTTCTTCAGCTGACAAATGTATCAAGAGAGGACAGTGAATCCATTCTTCGTGACTATTTCTATGTTTTTCCCAATGCTGTTGAAACATTGTGTTTTGGCTTGCTCTTAAAGGTGTAAACAAAAAAAATTTGGTCAAACTAACCTTTCCTTTCAACTTGGTTTACAGAGTATCAGTTAAAACTCGGTGCACATTTTGATTTATTTGAAGTGAAATGGTTCAATTAACCTAAAGTTATTTAATTTGGCTTTTTAAAAGCTGTGAGTGGGTTCTTCAGTTAATTTCAAAATTGAGGGCTCTGTGTATGTGTGTGAGGCTGTTTCTTGGTACTAGAGCAAAACCAGATGCAAAAATCTTAAAATCCTTTGCATACTGGAACTTTTATTACCCTTTTAACACTGCTTTTCATATGAGGCAGGCCCCTGTGATTTTTTCAAAGGGAAACACTTTTCCCAGTTTTTATGCTCCCCCCTCTAAAAAAACCCAGAAAAACAAAACACACAAACAAAAAAACCCTCAAAAAAACCCCCAAAACCCAAAACTAAACAAAACAAAAAACCCACAGACGAACCACAACAAAAATTACCCTCAGTATCAGAACAGAAAGTTGCTCAGCTCTGCAGGTTTCAGGAGCACAAAGGTTGGTATCCTGAAGACAGCAGGGAAGAATGCAAGGTTCAGCTGTGTGGCCAACTGCCTTGAAACACCTGGGAAGGCTTTAGATGATGACAATGTTCTTGATCATCTCATGACTTCTAAGTAGAAACATATGCATTTTTGAAGTGGGGGGGATATTTACCAGCAAAGCACAGTTTTTCATGGAATGACTGTCAGGCTGATTCAATGAACCCTCCCCTCCCCTCCCTTCTTTGCTGCCATAGAGAGAGGAATGTAATTTTCATTTAGTTTCCTTTATAACCTCAGAGATGGCATTCATGGGAGAAGATTTGTGCTTGTGATTAAGGAAGGAGCTGACTGGCATGTGTCGGGGTTGATTCTCTGCTGTATGTTGAGAGTACTGCCCTGTGGTAAAGTAGAATTGGATCAGAACCTTTATTAATGTAAAAGAATGGGCCTTTTCTACAAGCATTTACAAAGTAAAGCTGTATGAAACCATTGGCTACATTACTCAGCAAAGATTTAGTTGGGAATCAGTATGATTTTGAAGCCAAAAAGTAATAATAATAATAATAATAATAATAATAATAATAATAATAATGTAGTACAGGTTTGCCTTCCAAAAGAGTTTTACAAGCAGAATTGTATGTTGTCTTGAACAGTTTTGCGTGTCTGTACATATGTAACCTCGACTGCTTAATAAGCTTTACTGTTCTGGTAATATAATCATCTCACTGAATGCATTTTGCTGTATTTTTCAAAATGTATGTTATAATTTTTAATAAAAAGAAAACCTGGACTGTTCTCAGGGGAGAAAAAAAAAAGGTGTAACTTAAGTATAAAAGAAAAAACCAAAAGAGTGTGTTCTATGCAGAAAGGTGATGCAGACAGAGTGTGAAGAAGATACTATATTAAAAAGCTAAACAATAAGTGGTCCAACATGTACTGAATAAGAAATAGGTGTATCAGCTGCAGTTAACAGTAATATTTGTTGTGACTGGTTTTTTATTGACGAGTCTCCCATCGAATAAATGTGTCATTAGGAAAGGAATAGAAAAGAAATTAAGAGATTTCAAATACCATTTCTCAAAGAAATAAGCAAAGGAAATGAAAGGAAATTCATTTTCATGTATTGCCAATTACTTAGGACTGGAAACTTAAATCCATATGCGACCAAACCTGAAACACAAGATGGGGAATCCATATGTGTTCATTCAGCACTAAAAATCACTTGATCTAGGGACAAACTGTTCATTGTTTTGAAATACTTCAATCAGTGTTTGGTGAACAAATGCTAAAAGATACCCTAGGCCCACTTCACTTAACATATTAACATTAGATAAACCTGATATTCAGTTGGCCTTTGAATGTCCAAAGTGAAATCTGAGGAGAAGCGGGACAAAAGAAGGTGAATACACCCTGAATCAAGAAACTCTCCTCTGCCTTAACAAGGCTTCCTCCAGGCAACTTTCATCTGCTGGTACATCTTAAATGCAGCGAGTACCCTCCAGTCCCACCCATGATCAGAGTCTGAGAGGCTGTGATGATGCTCCAGCACTCACCAAGTTTACCTATCACTAAGGTGTGATTGACAGGGTCTTGTAAAACTCTTCACTTTTCTCCCTGGCTTGTGTCTGAAGCCCAGAGGTTCTCCTGATTAGTTAATTCTCAGTCTCCCTCCTCTATATCCATTCATTAAAGTTCAAAGAGAGCTGGAGACATGAAAGCGCCTGGAAAGCTTGGGGCCTGAATCTATTGGCTCAATGTTGCTGAAAAATACATTTTTTGTTTGTTAAACACAGGTTTTTGGACTTTCCCTTTCACGGGAGCTGCAAGATTTCTATAATTTGTCCCCAAACAAACAGCAAAGTGCTATGGAAGGAATTTGCTGCTGAGTGCATACCTTGCTCCTCACAAATTAATTAGGAGGAGGGAAACAGCATGTTATTACCCTAAATTGAACCTTGTGGCCATCTGTCTCTGAGCCACAGCACACATGCAAGCTGTGAATATATCTAGCTCTACTTCTTCTGACCCAAACCATTAACCAAAATTCAGTTCTTGTGCAGTTCTCCATCAGGCAAATAAATTGATGAGGGGCCTCTGATGCAGTCCTTCTTTCTGTTACAGTAAAAAAAAAGTACAACCACTTGTCACTACATCCTTGTAGAAGTTAGAAAGATGGGAGGAAGAAGAAGCAAATGCAGGTTTTCTTCCCCCATACAAGATGCTCTACATTTTAATTAAAAATATTTTTGTAGTCTTTTTTTCTCAGGTTGAGAGTGCTTTTTTGGCCATTTTCATGTCTTTCTCACTGCTGTTTCTGGTCCTGTCTATTGGCTGGCTGATGTCAAAGCTCTGACCTGGTGGGTTTTAACGGGCTCCTGAGAAATCCCTTAAATTCCATAGACAGAGTTCAATTAAACAGTGGCTTTCTGTTGATCTAATCATCACCAAAGCAACAAAGAAGAGGCCATTTATTGTTTGTTTATTTACATAGAAGTAACCAAAAGCTGTGACCAACAAATTCAGCCAAGTAGTAAGGTTTGTGGTTTTGTCTATTAGCCTGTTAGCTGCAGGACAGTATTATAATAGTAGTTGCTAAAAAAAAGACCGTATTCCTCTCCTGACAAAAAGCCTGGAATATCAGTATTATGCTTTAAGTGTAGCTCTGTAGACTGGACTTCCTCTTGACAAAAGGCTGGTGTAGTTTGCAACAAAATCTTTGATACATCATGATTCAAGGTGTCACTAAAGATTAAAACTCCCAAATTTATTCAGGCAGTAATTTAACTTTAACTTTTACCTCCAAAGATGAAAGAGTGAATTCTCTTTTAAAATGAAGAAGACTAGATAAAGAGGTAAATCACTACTGATAGTTTCTGACTTGAATGTAGGTTGGGGTTTTTTTTCCAATTAATAAGTCTTCCTGTAAAAAAAAAAAAAAAAAGAGACATAAATTTCAGTATTTAATGTTAGAGATGAGCACAAGCACTGAAGAAACCAGAGTAAGTCCAAGACCTGTGCAGCTATCAATGAAGTTGTAGTGATTAATCTCATATTCTCAGAATTCTGCTATCAAAGCACAACTTGATTGCCTCCAACACTTCTTTGTACAGAGTTATCGAGTCTGTCTGCATGAGAAATGATTGCTGTGCCAGACCTTTGATTAACCCTCCTTTACCCAAAGCAGAAAAGCAAATCAGAGGAAAGAGGTAATGTTTCTGTAGAAACTGCTACTGATAAACAACAGTTCACCACTTTATCGAGTGGCATTTGTCCCTCTAAGTCAAGCCATTTCAGAAGAAAGCAGGAGAAAGCTGTCAGGTAGTGCAGCTACATGAATTTGAAAATTAATTACTTTGCGTCAGAGGCTATTTTCAACCAAATTATAACGAGACAGGGCCAAGTCCCTGCATCTCAGAACTGTGCTACCTGTTCAGATATTCTAATTGACTTATTAAGTCTGACCACACTGGGCTTGTTATCAATTCCAGAGAGACATTAGTGAGAGCACCTGAGTGAGGATCCTCTCCCAAAACATGATGAAGGGCAATGCACTCACCACAAGCTCCCCCTACTTAGCACTGCACCAGGGTGCAGAGAAAATGGCAAAGTGTTTGCAGGCTGCAGAAACACTCACAGTTCAAAAAAGACATTTTCTGTCCCCCCCTCCCAGGAAAAGAGATGCTTAGATTGACAGCATTGCATAGGATACCTATTTGATTATACCAAGATACAGCTAGATGAAATGCCTTACCAGGAAATTTTCCAAGAGTAGACGTAAGTTCAACTATAAGTCACGGGTGACACAACACTGGTTCCATATAGGCTGTTGAAGAAAGATGGAAAACTCTTTGTAAAGCAGTACTGAAGACTGGCTACAATTCCAAACACTGAAAAGACCTTGAAAGCATTCAGGAAAAAAAAGTAGCAGCTAAGGATTAATTTTGATCAGGACTGGATTTTCTTTTATTTGTAAGACACACGGGACAGGAATGTGAGTGGAGTCTCACCATACCACAGGGAGTTTGGAGATATCTTGCTGTGACAGATTTATACTTCCCCATACAGAGGAAAGGTGGATACTGCTGTTCTGTGCTGTGTTTGGGGTATTTACTTCCACCCTAGGTTTCCTACTGAACAAGCTGACTTTTCTTTATTTGGTGTGTGGAAAATGACTTCTCGGTAGCCCTGTATGAAGTTTTATGTTCTGTCTCCTTGTTTTATTTTTTTTCCCAAAGTGATCCTACTGGAAGTTTTGATTAGGTGAGGATGAACCTATCCAAATTAAAATAATTTTTTATACCTTCTGATCTGGTAGATCTCAAAATCCTTTCCACACCAAAGAAGGTACTTTAAGATTGCATCTAAGTTTGCCAATATTTTAATTTTCCATCTATTATCACTTTGCTGCAGTACAAAACATCAGGGAAAACACAGTCCTTTCTCCAAGATATCTGACATGGAAAGGTATGTGACAGATTGAGCATCTAACACTGGTCTTCCAGAAAGTGGTACAAGCAGTCTTTCTTCGTGGATTTTGTAATGCCAAGCAGATATATTTCTTTTTCTAGAGGCAAAGGTGAAGAATGTTGCTATTGATGAAAGACAGGTTGCTATGGATCATTGCTACATTGATGCTGACCAAGTAGAAACTTCAGAGACTGCAACAGCCACTGTTTTGTTAATTCACATCTCCCATGATTCCATCACATGTGGATCTCTGTTCCTGTATGCTATGGATCCAACACTTTGGTTTCTGAATTCTGCTTTTGTACATTAAAGTGGAATCAAACTAAAAGCTTCTTTAACTATCCAATAAACATATTAAAGAATTTATAGTTTTACATAGATATATATATACCCAGATACATAATAGCATCACAGTGTATAACAAAGGAGGGTATATTTTCTTTGCAGCATGTAAAAGAATGTTGCATGTGAAACTGGAAAACCACTACCATCTCAAGTCATCTAATTTACTTTATTTCCTTCTTATCCCTCCAAAAAAAGTAGCTTATGTCCCACATGATGTGTGTAGGGTACATATTTCTGCTCAGTCAGGCTTGGAGTTGATGTAGTATCTTTAATTTTTCCAAACAGATGAGTTTACTTAAATGCAAATGAGAGAGCCAATACCCAGCTGGGTCTATGAGCATCCTGTGGCTTTGTCAGCTCTGTACCAATGTGTATTGTACATATGCTGATACAAGGTTTTGGTCTGATAAACTTGCAAAAATCAGTACAACATTTTTCTTTTTTCCCTTTGAAGTTCCCAGGCTACTAAAAGCACATTGCTTTGACAGTATTCTGCTGGTACTTTAGAATAAATTTTTGATATTCAATCATATAGATTTTATCGTATGGCTTTCAGGCAGCTAGCAATATCTGGGCATCACATTTGTGTTCAAATGACCAGAAAAAAATTCTCTCTAATATTAATTGTTTATATTAATAAGGCTGCTGGTGTATTACCTCCTGACTTTCAGGAGAGTGATGAGCAGAATCATAGGAATCTTTTAAGAAAATGCATATCAAAAAAACCCATGAAAAGCAGTATTCTGGAAGAGAGAAGCAACCTATTTGCAGCAGGGGAAACAAGCATACTAATGTCCCTTGAAATGGATTGGCCAATTTACTTTTTATGAGAAATGGGAAAAATATACATATATGTCCAGATATGCATTTTAATTTTATTAAACAAATAAACATGAAAGTTTTCTAAATTGCTGGGCACTTGGAGGTGAAAAGCTTAGAGTTTCTTGAAGTCTGCTCATGGAGCCCAACAGGTGCAAGCAAGTATGAAGTCAACCTGCTGAGAAGGAGTAAACTCAAAAAAACCTGAGAGTAACCATTGCTTCAAAAGCATGCTGTCAACACACTATCGCAGTAAGTCTAGGCTGTTGACAGATAGAAAATCCCTCTCAGTTTACAGGCAATTGAACAATTATTTTTCAAAAACTGACAAACTACTGAACTGCATGATATTCTGCAAGAAATAAACAGCACTAACCTGGGTATTATATGTGAAAAAGGGCTGTAAGTGAACAGAGTCTGACAGACTATGGGAGACTATATACCAAGCTAAAAAAGAAAGGTTCTGGATCACAACTCCTTCAAAATACAAGAGGTACATGCGACATTGAAGAAATGCATCACACATACAGGATATCCAGCTCAGTCCACAATATTAAATATTTTGGGTTCTTACCAGAAATTAGGTTTTGTTGAGTCTTATGAAAGATTTTTTATATGCCAATAATTATCTTAAAAATTAAAGTGTGATCTTTGCATCTGAATTCATTGACTGCTGAGACTGAATGCTGAAAACCACAGAATCAAATTGTAGAGGAGTTGGCCAGTATAACAAAAAGCCTTTAGTTTCTGGCATGATAGCCTGTATCTATAAAAGTAGTTTTTCGCTAACTACTTATACTGTGAAACAATATTTTATTATACAGTTTTCCATATCTATCCTAGCTACAAATTCAGTTCAGTTTCTAGCCTTTGTGAAAGAATTTAGAAGCACTTTCTCTTTCAGTCAAGTCAGTGTGAAAAGTCTTGCATCCCCTGACTGAGGCAATGCCATTCTTTCTTGGGCTATACTGGAAAACGAGTCAGAGAAAAAGTCTAGGTTTAAAATATCAGTTAAAAAAAGGTGCTGATTTTTCAAAAGTGTTTTGCATGAAAATCCACTTGAGAAACAGTGTCAATGCAGAATTTCTTTTGTTCCAAGGGATCTGGGAAAGACGTACCCTATAAAACCAAGAGTAAAACATTCTCTGATAACTCCTTTAATATCAACCTGTTGAAGTGTTTTTTGAATCCAGAAGGTGTCTCTTGCATTCAGAGATGATGGTGTTAGTGCTCAAAAACTAGAATACCATGCAGTATCAAAAGTAGGACTCATTATATGGCAGCACACATTTCCGTGTGGGATCACCTTAAGTCTCCCATTAGATGCACATGATGCCCATCTGGAAGTTTGATCTGCTGGCACTGTGTAAATTTAGAAAGATAAAAAAAATAAACAAGGGAAGGAAAGGAAATATGTAAAAAAAAAAAAAAAAAAAGCCCAACAAACATAAAAGAAACAACCCAAAATTTAGCTGAAAAACAATAATATTTCCAATATAATTCAGTTTGGAATAAACTGCTGAATGCTTATGTTGAAGGCATTGAAAAATAAAAAACAGTTGGTCAAAACCTTACCCTTTTATGTCTGCTTCTCTTAGTCTGTGTTTTAAAATATTCTCTCTCGTATTTTTTAAAGTCTTTTTTTTTTTTCTTTAAACAAACTGTTTAAAAGTGAAAAATCCACTCAAAAACTCTTAATAGCCCTGTCAGTGCAATGCTAGCTCCAGAGTTTGGCACCCTTGGCAATAAGGATGAATATGAAAACAGGGTCCTCACCACGGGCTACTTCTGCCTCTTAGTGAGATTTGAGAGGTTGAGAAGGGTTCCTAAGAGCATTAGGGATACATGAAAGAAGAAAGACAGGGGATTAGCCAGAAAGAATGGAAGAATAAGGTTTGTCAAGTAATGAAGCAGATGACTCTCAAGAAGACTGCAGAGCTCCATATAATTCTGACAGGGAAGGGCAGAAGTAGGAGTTTAAGAAGTGAGTCACCATTTCCCCCCTCCCAGCCCAGCTGATAAACTGAAAAAATGAGCAGTTTTAAAATTAAAGCATGCTGCCAAGGACCTGAACTGGGAACAACTTGTAGGTTTTATATAAATCTTCTTAAGACCTTAGCAGAGAGTAGAACTTAAAAGGCTGAAAATATATGTGAGGATTTTTTCCCCCCCCTTGCTTAGATCCTGAGCTCCTTCAGGCTCAAAAGACTTAACTTTTCAAGAAGAGTATTGGACAAGTGGAGAGGTATGAAAATTATCATAATATATGGTATCCTTTAAAAAAAAAGTAATTGTTCAAAAGTAATGAATATGCATAAGTTGTAGTGAGCTAGGATGTTTATTAGTTAATATGTAAGACATTTGTTTGCCATACCTTTTTCTGCTTTTTGTAATACTGCTACAACAATCCTATGATGGCATAAAAAGGCAGAAAGGTGTGAGAAAGAAGAATTTTTTTCAAGTATGAGACCAGCAAATTCAGAGTGAAAAGCAAAATGATTTCTAGCATTATTACCTTCAAATATTTCTTGCTCCTTGACATTGGAAAGGTAAGCTGTGTTCTGATAGACTGATTACCCTCAATGAATGAACTACCTTCCACCATTAACAGCAACTCCAAGTTAGAGAATGGTTGTTTTTATCTAACTTGTTTTAACTACCTGAAAGAAGGTTGTAGCCAGGTGGGAGTTGATCTCTTCTCCCAGGCAACTATCAGTAAGACAAGAGGGCATGGTCTCAAGCTCTGCCAGGGGAGGTTTAGGTTGGATATTAGGCAGAAATTCTTTACAGAGAGGGTAATCAGGTACTGGAATGGGCTGCCCAGGGAAGTGGTGGATTCTCCATCCCTGGAGGTTTTTAAGATGAGACTGGATGTGGCACTCAGTGCCATGGTCTGGTAGCCACGGTGGTAGTGGATCAAGGGTTGGACTTGATGCTCTCAGAGATTGTTTCCAACCCGTCTGATTCTGTGATTCTATGATCCTTGAAGGCTTTTCCTATTTGAAACTTGACTCCTGAGATTTAAGTTGAGGTTTAACTTTGGAAACAGCACTGGGGAGTGCTGATGTTCTGCCACTTTTAAACACCAAAAGGTTGAAGCTTGGGAGATTATAAGAGCAACTGTTTCTTGCCTCATCCTGCAAAATCATATTCTGAACCTTACTGAGATGAAAATGTAACATTTTTTATAGG